AATTTCAAGTGGTTGACATTATGACTAAAGCTGTTTCCAAAGCCAAGTTTAAAGATTTCAGACTCGGACTTGGTGTTTCCAGTAAAAAAAATATCGAGGAGTGTTAAATTCTGATATTTTGCTAGAAATGTAGCAGTTTGTTAAGTTGTTTCGAATCTGTTCTGGCGCCAAAAGGGAATTGCAATTTGCTGTCTGTTTGTTTTGTTGGGCAGCTGTATTTGATTGATTTTGTGATGGTTTAGGTGTGTACAGCTAGGTTATATGGGATTTTTCCATAATGGTTGTTATAGTAGGTCTTAATGTGTGGTTTTGGATTAATGTTGTATAAAATGTCCCTGCAAAGTGGTTATTAACAGTGGATATTTTGCTTTACTTGTTTTGTTGTAAAACTTAGTTAAGTGTGTGAATGCAGTTACAACCTTCTCTCCATTCTTTTGACCATTTTCTTTTCTTAGTATTCTCTGGCATTAACAGCAACAAAGCCATTAAGTCCTCACTCTATCATTAAACTCTTTGACTATTTCGTAATTCCATAGATAAGTTGTGACTTCGCATAGTAATAAGTAAAATACCATGAAAAATTTAAAATTTCTTGAGACTTTAGCGCCAGAATTTTCAGCTAGTTTCATCTTCTATTACAAGGTTGTGCGTGTGGTACCTAGAGTTATGAAGCCGGCCGTGAGCAATTTGTTATTGTAAATTCTTTGTGAAAATGTTAGATTTCTGAATTGATTCAATCAGGTCTTTCAAGCTTCACCATAACTAAACAAGTACTCACCGGACTCCATTTCATGATAACTATAGGCTGAGAACCTGAGAAGATATTCTGAGTCCTAATTGGATTTCCAAACTTCAACCACATTTTAAGGTGCACTTTTTAAAAAAGTATTAGAACTGCATTGACCACATATATATAACTGACCAAAATTTGTGGTTTGTTCCATACACAGAAAGGATAGTTTCTTTCTTGATTCTAGGATTAATGAAGGATGGTTCGGTGGTTCCTTGCTTGAATTTGGATCATTCACTTTGTCTTATCCGAAGATTAGCTCGTCATATTCACATGCCACTTAAAATGTGGAATGCCTATAAATACCAGCATGGATATCCCTGAATCCACATTCAGAAAAAAAAAATGGCTCTAATCCTTTGCTTCAAAACTCTGGCCATGCTTAATTTGCATATTGGTTTCTGTCTTATCTTTGCCTTCTATGGTCATGTATGTCCCATCCTTCACTAGGATACCATGCCACTGTCAGTCGTGGGTGCAAAATCTTTTGCCTTCGAGTTGCGCGGTGGAGCATTCTATACAGGAGTTAAGGATGGTAGAATACTAAGATACGATCCTCCAACAGGTACTTTCACAGATTTTACCTTCACCTCACCAAGGAGGTATCATATCCAACTCATAGAGTTAAATAATATTATTATTATTATTTTCTTTTTACATTAGGAACTTCATGTTGGAGAAGTATTCACATTTGTAATTGATTCAGGTTCAAGTTTGTATGTGATGGTAACACTAATCTAGCATTGGGGTATAGATGTGGAAGGCCATTAGGCTTTCTTGAAGATGATGATATCTTGCTGGAAATGATGAAGTCAACACACGGTGGGAGTTGCAAGTTTTTGGCGCCACGGTTTGAAATGGTATTGTGCGTGAAGCTGCAGTTTTTTTGTCACTGTTTGAAAGACTTTTGTGATGTTCATTACTGATGTGTTTAGGTGAATTCAGCTTTGATTAAGGAATGTATTTGAAATGCTTGTACTTCTATTAGTTGTATGTGTTTAGTTTAAATTCAAACTTGTAAAATATCCACTGCATTAGGTGATACAGTGGACTGACTTTGTGTATAAATTATCCCTGTTTTTTGAATGCAAAATAGAGCAAAATTTCAGTTCAGATTTTCTCTCTCTATAACCCTCTCACATCTGTTTTGGTCCTCTTTCCTTAGTATTCTCCAGCTCTAAAAACCAACGATTGGTATTCGAGCTGTTGTGATCTTTCAGGACCTGGAAAAACAAAAACCTCTTAACAAAACTCAACACCATACGTAATCATCTTCATGGCAGCAACTCCAGCTTCACTTTCTCCACCCATCTTCAATGGAGATCAATTCCATGTATGGGCTGTCAAGATGAAGACTTATGTAAGAGGCCATGGTTTGTTACAATACATAGAGGAGGAGAAGCAAGTTCCTCAGTTGGGAGCAAACCCCACACTAAACCAAACCAGGATTCATGATGAGGAGATGTCTAAAGCACCAAGGGCCCTATCTTACATACACTCGGCAGTGACAGACCAAGTCTTCACTAGGATTATGGCGTGTGAAACTCCTAAAGAGGCTTGGGATAAGCTTAAGGATGAGTTTGGGGGCAACAATACAACATGCAGCATGCAAGTTCTAAACCTGAGAGGAGAATTTGAGATGCTTAATACGCAAGAGGCTGGGTCTGTTAAGGAGTATGTGGATAGGCTGATGAATGTGGTGAACAAAATTAAGCTACTTGGTGAAGAGTTGACTGACAAGAGGATAGTAGAGAAGGTGTTAGTCAGTTTTTGAGAGTTTTGAGGCAAAAATCTCTTCACTTGAAGACTCCAAAGACCTGTCCCAGAACAACTTAGCAGAACTTGTGCATGCTCTTCAAGCACAAGAGCAGAGGAGGTTGCTGAGGCAAGAAGACTCAAGTGAAGGAGCCATGATAGCAAGCCAAAACAAGAGGTATGCTGGAGAGAAGAAGGGAAAAGAGGAAGATAAAAATGAAGGAGGAAAGAATGCAAGAATGAGAACATTTCCTCTTTGTCCTTACTACAAGAAAAATACCCACTCTGAAAACAAATGTTGGTTCAGGCTTGGCATACAATGCAGGTCTTGTAAGCAGTTTGGACATGTAGAAAGGGTGTGCAAGAATAAAGAAGGGCAGCAAGAGCATCAATCCCAGGCAGTGGAGAATCAACAGCAGACTCAAGAACCTAGGCAGCTATTTATGGCTTCAGGATGTGTAGCTGATTGTGATCAAGAGGTGTGGTTAATTAATAGTGGTTGCACCAACCATAAGACTCCAAACCTTGGTCATTTTGTGAACTTTGATCAGAGTTATCAATTCAAAGTGAAGATAGGAAATGGAGAGCTATTAGAGGTCAGAGACAAGGGAAATGTTACTTTCCAAACCAAGTGAGGTACCAAATTCATATCTGATATTTTATTTGTTCCTGAAATCAGTCAAAGTTTACTTAGTGTAGGAAAAATGCTTGAGAGGAATTACTCTCTGCATTTTAAAAACTCAGCATGTGTCATTATAGAATGTGATGGGAGTGAGTTAATGAGAGTTAGGATGCAAGGAAAAAACTTCCCGATAGAGTGGGGAAAGGCTGTTTTTCAAAACCATTCAGCTAACATAGTTAGTAGAGATGTTAAGAGGACAAGTGCGCTGTTTGGAATTGGGAAAAAAGTCAGGTTGAAGTCAAGCCAAGCCTCCAGCAAGATAGAATGCCCAAAAGTCAGATTAAAGAAGTGAATTCAGATGAAGTTGATGAAGTTCCAGTCAGAGGTACAAAGCCAATATCTGAAATTTATGAGAGGTACAATATGGCTGAGTTAGAACCAACAAACTACAATGAGGCAATCAAATCTGATGCTTGGAAAAGCTACAATGAAGGAGAAGTTCTCTTTAATAGTGAAGAACAAGTTGCAGATATTGTTAGAGTAGATGCCCTAGAGCCAATCAATTATTGTAGAATTGACTCTTTGTAATTATGTTCATTAATCAATAAAAGGCATTTTATTCTATATCGCGTAAAGCATTATTATTGCAATATGTATTGATATATGNAGCTTAAATGGGGAATGGAACATAGACAAACGCACCACCGCTGAGACTTGGAACAAGAAAGGAAGGCTTTTGTGCGAAGCGAAAACCGATAAATGGAAAAAGTAAGGCAAGTAGAGGGAATAAAGGACTGCAATAATTCACACACGCAAATAAAAAATTTTAAAAGGACAGTGTAAGTAACTGAAGTGAATTTATCAACAACAAAATGGGTCAGGGGGGTTCGGTTCAGTATTTTTATATTCATTTATGTAAACGTGATGAGTAGGTGGAGGCTGTGGTGTCTAAAAATAGTGGTGTGTACGCCGCCGGTGAGGCTTTAAGTAAATCTAAAGTAAGATTTTATATTAAATGAAGGAATGGATGGGACAGTTTTTGTTTAGTTTAGGGTTTAGATTAGGTAAGGTTAGGACTTAGGTGTGTAAGAGGTGTAATAAAAATGAAAGGTAATGGCACAGACTTTGTTTTTAAGGGGGTGGTGTGGTGATGAGAGATTGCTGGTTGAATGACAAGGTGCAGTTGGGGAGTGAGAGAGTTATTGGGCACTTAAAACACCCGTTTCAGAGGGCTTTCTGTCTGCACCAATGGCCAATCAATCTATCGATCAACGAAGAGCTCTTTCTTCGAAAAAATGAAAAAACTGGAAATTCATTATTACCATTAATACTTGATAGGTTTGGAACTAAGGTCTACGCATAAATATATGAGCCTATTTAAGTATTTAACCATCTGGATGAATAGAGTCAATGGCAGATGGATGGCATTGATGAAGAAATATGCAGGCTTGGAACCTCAAGTCAATCCTCGACCCATAGGCCTGGAATCAACACTGAGCCCATGGAGACTTTGGTTGGGTTGTCAATTGTCATAGCCACCTTCAAAGCTGAAGGCAGAAGCGGACTGAATGGTCCAGGTGAAAATGGGCTCTATAGGTCCAAAATTCTCATGTAAAATGAGTCGAGCATCACATGAGCTCGTTTATATCAGTGGAACAGATTTAATACCGAATGCAGGGGAAACTTTTAATGTGGGTGAGAGTCTAATGGCATTTTATATTCACTTACAGACTCTGTATATCAAGAAAAGGTATCCATTAGAGAGTAAAATACAAAACAAATATAATTATTCTCTATATCTCATTAAAATATAACCAGTAGAATTACAACGACTTCCATAATACACTCATGTAGAATGATTGACATAACAAATATATGTATAAAACAAAGTCTTTATTTATACAAACACAAGTACTAGCTACAAAAATAATTCCTTTAATGTGCACGTGTAGAGCTTATTTGTATACAACCTGAATTTATGTATAGGAAGCAGCAAACTGAACCAGGCATGAGAAAAAAATATGTATACAGTACAACCACATAATGATTATGTATCATATAATCAAGTGAACGTGGTACCAGAGACCTCGAGAATCCACTTATTTATACTAGTTTCGCAAAACCATAACCAGCGACAACATCAGAAGTACCAACAAATAATAAGTAGAGAGGAAATTTGAGCCAGCTGCAAAAGAAACAGGCATAATGGTGAGCCTCAGTTTTATGCATTGATGCAGCTTAAGACATCGAAAAACAGATCACAAGTTTCTTTTTAAGTATACCATAGAAAAGGTTTCAAGGCTAAAACTTTAAACATGGGCATTAGATTTCTCTATATGTTCCTCAAGGCAATAGAAGGAAAGTAGCACAATATGCAATTATGAATTTTCAATCTTACCTTGATTCTGACTGTCATCAGCCAATACAGTAGATGGTGGTGGAGATTGATTTGGCATTGAAATCCCAAGGCCCGCACAATCCATTCCAATAGCACCTTCAATTGACAACCAAATTTACTATCAACTATCAAGTTATTGCTGAAGCACGGAACTAGATCATTATATGTCTAAAAAAATTCAACCTAAAGTGCGCCTTTCAGTTATCGTTTCACTCCAAACCTTGTTGCCTTAGAACCTGATTGCAATTTCTAGTTTTTTCTTTCAAAGCAATAACTCAAGTAGATTATCTTACATTCTTTGTAGCAGGGAAAAGCTGACACATTAAGAAGATTATAATAACCCGCTTCACATTCACAAGTGTATGCGAACATTGATGTAGTATTGCACAAGCCACCTCCACAATTAGTCCACTTGCAGACTAGATAATCAAAACTCAATGAATTAGTACCATGACACCAAGTGATGCCGTGCAAGATTAATACTGTAAATGTAATGGTGCTTACTGTCAAAAATTGACAGGTTAGTGGTTGATTTCTGTTGAACAGGAGCAGGTGCCGCCATGCAACTGTAATTCATTGTACCTAGAAAGCAAAATTATCAGCATCAACAAAAACCATAAACTAATTTTACTGCTATTAAACAGAAATAAGAATGGCAATTGATCATATCATAAGTCCAAGCACGCGGCATTAAAAAAATAAAAAGTCACAATCTTTAACTTTGATACGATATTTGCATCAAACCTACCAAGTGTTTCTACATCTCATTTTAAGATATTAGACCAAATCTAAACATATTCAGGTCCTTAACAAATTAGGCTGTGATTAACATGCACCACCAACTTGAATTAAAAAAGAAAAAAACTATTATCGTATACTTTCCTTTTAGGCAGGATTTGACTCCATTTTACTTGCCCCGCAAGATATTGGCATCGCCAACTCCAAACTTGTGCGTCCTATTGGCAAAGGATCTAGTCCACCAATTGATAGGGATTTATTTATCCATGATTCATCGAATTTAATGGAAATCTCTATACAGTCATAAGTAGATTGAACAGAATTATACTTCATATGCATCACCAATCACAATATATTTGCCTTGCGCAGATTAAAATGAAAACATAGGAATAGCTTACAGTTGAACATGTCTATCTAAATAGGGGGAGAGTGACAAAGAGTGCTCACAGTTAGGAATTACGCAAGGAAGAAACTTATACTGATTATTGTCATCCGAAGTGGTCTGCATCCACCCAGGATCACAAACACATTCATAAAAGAAAGTGCTATTCATAGAAGGTTGGCACTCTCCCCGTCCACATTCCACTTCTTGGCACACACTATCTGCACCCAAAATCAAAACAAACACACAAGAATGACATCAGTCTTCAAAATCAAGATTGACCCAGTTGCTAAAAAGTAGTAATATCAATATAGATTGCGAGAAACAGACTGAAGGCAGGCGCGAGAATTGGAGGCAAGAAGCCGCTTGTAGTAGCCATAGGTTGCAGAGCAACAAGAAGGACTGAAAGAAGGGCGATGACATTAACAGAAGCCATCTCTATTTTCTAGAATATTACAAAGCAGAGGCCAGCGAGAGGGAGGAGAGAAGATTGATGATGAAATGGTGAGATATAAATGGAGCTTGTAACCCCATTTGACTTTTAGGATGGAGTTTGAAAATCTGAGATGTTCCACAACTATAGTTTCGTGTTTTGACTCAAAAGTTAAAAAATCTAAACGTGTTTGACCTGAACAATGAGCTACTTAAAGAGGGGATAGTTGGGAGTTGGACTTCGGCCGTTCGGCGTAGTCTATTGAGCAATCATTCTATAACACGTCATGACTTGGATTCACATGTACACATATTACTGTTTTCTGTACATACATAACTTTCCTTGCAATTACATATACAAAATTAGATTTTTATTTACACTTCGTAAATCTAAAGCAATCTTAATATGGAATTGATTCATTTGAACAGAGAGTGGCTATTACATGATTACAGTAATACTTTATATAAATATACAATTAGATTAAAATCTTGATGAATCTTTTGAAATTTATTTATTCTATTAATTTATAACTAAAACTTATAAACAGATGGTTTATGACTATTTTTTATATGACCATATGTTTGATGAAGATTCTGGAGAGTGTTTTACAATTTATTAATTTCTTCTAAGAATTTTTCATTTGAAGCAAGATAGGCTTTTTGAACAAACCCCTGAGCGGCGAGTGGTTCGATAAAGACTTTTAAGTGTATTTACTCAAGAGGTCATGAATTCGAATCACTTCTCAATTGCAAATAGGGGTTGTCACTGAAGCTCTTATTCAACAGTAATTTTAAGGTCCTGAATAATTAATTGAGTGTATATAAACTGACATGAACACCCCCAATCATATATATATCAATAATACTATACTTACAAAGAAATCTTACAAAGATTTTCATACAAAGTAAGATAGCAAAAAATGAATGGAAGAGTGAAACAAAAAGTTTACTCTTCCATTCATTTTTTGTCACATTACTTTATACAGAGATTTTGTAAGTTTAGTATTTGCCTCTCTCTCTCTCTCTCTCTCTCTCTCTCTCTCTATATATATATATATATATATATATATATATATACACGAGGTTTGAATTAAAGAAACATGGCAGGAGCTAATGGTCCTAAAATCAATTAGAGTAGGCAGCTCAGCTAGCCCAAGAAGCCTATATAAAATTAAAGGAACAGGGCAGGAGCTCATGGTCCTAAAATCAATTAGAGTAGGCAGCTCAGCTAGCCCAAGAAGCCTATCTTTATATATATATAGTTTAAAAAATCAAAATTTTAAAAAAATATTTTCTTTTGAGATTGAATCTAATCCTCTTTACCATCAATGAAAATATGGAATGAAAGAAAATTATATTGTTATAGTGGATGATTATTTATATGTACAAGAAATTTCGAGCTTGTTGGGTGCAAGAAATCTTTGTTTCCCAAATCCGAGCAGAGATGTTTAAAAAAAATTGTTTTCTCCATAATTAGTTAGAATAATTTTTTTCATTTTTAGCTTTACTTGTAGCAAAGCCAAATGATAGTTAGTTACTTGGGTAGTTACAAGGATTAGTTGGAATTTCTCAATCCATAGTATTAAAGTCTATTCTGAACAAGACTTTGTGTAAAGTCCAACAATCTTTCTTAAAATGGCCTCAGTTTTCTGCATATTAATCGCCTGCATCTTCCACACCTAAGCCAATTCAATGCATTTATCAGGGCAGTATAAATCTCGTTATATACTGTTTAAAGTTTGGTTCTCGGGAAAGTTTTTGGATTCTACCGGGCGGTGTTGCTGTAGAGTTGGGTTTAGTTCTTCCATCCTGTTTTAATGCTTTTTCATTCTAAACTTTCAGCTACTAAATAAAGATGAAAGCACTTTCTGACTAGATGTCGCTCATTCTTAACTCTTAAGGCAACTAAAGTCAAGAAGCCAACCGTATCATAACTACGAATATGACTTTCATGAAAACTGCAACAAGTTTGTTGGGTTTCATAAAAATATCTCTTGCTTCAATTGAACCGCTCTTCATTCCTAGACTATCAATAAACTGTCACCAGTTTGATGATTCAACTTTTATTCAGAATTGTGGTGCCTAAAAAGTCATGCCGATGTCAGTTCAACAAATGTTTAAAAGATAAAGTATACTAACTGTCAAACTAATACAGTTTCAAAGGAATTTTATACCAACCGTATCTTATTTTAAGATAAGGGCGAATAAGAGTTTTCTATGTGTCAAGACAACTTACAAAAAAACTCATTATATTAACCTCAAAGGTGTATAAATTAGCCTCTCTCTTTTTAAAAGAAGGGGCTGGGCATATGAGAGCTAAACATGGATTTGAGCTTTATTATTTTTCTCTGTAAACAAAGTTTTTCTCCATCTTTATATGTCTTATCGGCAATATCATAGAAATAACTAAAGAATAGCAAAATAACAGTGGATGTAAGATTCGTTTTAAGTATCCGAACCACTTTAAAAACCTTTCTTACCAATCTTTTATTTATGTTTTCTGCAAACGTATATGATCTCAGCACTATATTCAAATCTCATGAATTCCTTACGTATAATTTTTAAGACTCTCTTAGCGCTTTACACGTGTGAGTCGTTGTTGTCAAAATCAAGCATCAATAAGAATGAATATGAAGGAGAAGGAACAAGAAATGAAATGTTCTCTGCTCATATGCAGGATGAAGTTTGTAGTGCATCCTGCGGTTTATGATTGTTATGGACACCATTAGCATTACTAAATATGAGACTGTTGTTAGGGAACTCGGTGATCTTTTAAGTTATTAAAGGAAAAAAATGAAATGAGACGCCAAACAAAAGGATCCAACTTCTAAACAGGGAGAGGCCTTTGAATAGATCAGACATAAGATATGGAAAGTTTTGTGCTTTTTTGCTGGTGCTGAGGAGCATAGGTCTAATCCAAACATAAACAAAAAATATCAGTGCTTTGGCTGCAACTGCCAAACACTGTGAGTTAATCATCAATGTCATTGTAGGAGCATAACTTGATATGAATGTTAACTGGGTTGGTAGATTTGAGCTGATTTGGGCAAATTTTGGGCTAGTAAATGATGCAAATTTGTTCTCTTTATACTTTAGAAGGAACACGCATTTTTCATATTATCAATATGAACAAAACAGTTAGAAACTAAAAAAGAGAGAATATATAATACATGTATATATTACAAGATATGGTTGCTGAAAATGTTTCAGAAGTAGGTGATGGAACATTCCAAGTTTCTAACAGCTTTAGATGTGAATTTACTTTCTCCCTTCTTCTCCTTTACAACACCATGGCCTACATCCTAAACATCATGCAAAAAACCCATGATCCTATTCACTGAACTTCCAGGTATATTCTCCTCTTCAAAGGCTTTCTTTCTATGAACTTGATGGATGTTTTTCTCCTTTCTCCTTTACAAACTATCCTGATGAGTACAAAAATCGTCATATAGAGCTTCATTACACTGCCAAAAGCCTTTTGCTTTACCTTACACAAAAAAATTTATATTTTTTCATCTATATTCGGATCCCTTCGAATAAATTAGAGAAAATCCGAAGCTATTTTCCATGAGGAATAAGAGTCATGAGATCAGGAGTGGACAGGAGTTCGACAATAGGGGCAATGAGGATGGTCCGCAAGCCAAGGAAGAAGGCAATCTGAATGGTACTTGTGGGAACATGAGAGGTCCATTACCGGTTGCTCTGCTTGAAATTCTTCTAAACAAACAGAACAAATATTCCTTTGTGATTTACATCTTCTGAGTTTGAAGTTCCACTGCTTCCCTAACAGTTTTTTTGCCAACCGAGAATTCTTTTTGTATGCTTTAAGGTCGAGGCCACGACCAATATTTGATTGCATTTCACTTGACCTATAAGTAATAAAGTCTGTCAGTAGCCAGCACAGGTGATGAATTCTAAATTCGGAGCACATAAAAGAACATGATTAAATAATTAAAAAAAAAAAGGGTTTTCTTAAAGCAGTTGCATCAATGAATTTTGAATTTTAAACAAGAACATAATTTTCCTACAATAGCACTGATGGGTTTGTAGCTATCGATTCAGAGGCTTCAATATTACAGAACAATTCCTTAATCTGAGGAACATGTTGAATTCACAATTCAAGCTTTTGGAAGAAGCTTAACTGTTGAGCTAAAGTGCAAAATATTTTGTAGCTATCCAAGTTCATGAATTTTGAATAAGTTTTCATATATATTAACAATTGTGTGTGTATATACTGCTTAGGACTTTGTGTTTCAACTAAAATGTTTAAGGATAAAGAATAGCAGGAACAAACCTGGAAGCAGGATACAAGGAGCCTAGCCTTCTCTCCAGGCGTTGGCGAGCTCTTAGCGCTGTTTCATCCAAGGTGCAAACAACAGGGACCGACGGCGCACGCCGCTCCCGTAGAGGGCTTTCAAAGCGGCTGCAACTAGAGTCTTGACGGTGATGGTTATGTGTTCTCCTCCTCAAAGGCACCCCTACTCCAGGTAACATTCCAGCCATATTTTCTGTATCAGAAAAAACTCTCAATTTCAACAAAACCCGATTCACTCTTTCTGTTTAACAACTTAATGGGTACTGGGCAGGTCCAACTAATACTGTAAAACACTAAAACTATTCTCCAATGTCAACATTTGCCAATAAATTTTTTTGGCTTCAAGATTTGTTGTATTTTCCTGGCTCCTTCCTCTTGAGTATATAACTCTTAAAAGAAGCTGCAGAGAAAGCGGGTTAAGTGTAGGGCATTTATTGCACGATAACTATAACTGCTTTAAACCAAGAGTGCAAATGCCGAAAAGTCAAGACGCAGCTTCTTTGAAGGTAGGTGTCTTCTCATCTCATGGGCCGGATATAGGGACTCTTCAGATTTAACTTTTTTTTGTGGATCTTTGCAGCGTGCCGGCAGGCCCGGCCCCGGCATAGGTTCAATGGGCTCAAATAACTTCAAAGGGAAGTGATGTTTAGCCCCAATTATTTTCTTGTTAATATCTCATCTTTTATTTTAAGCAGGGTTATATTTGTAATAAAATATTTTATTTTTCTTCTTCCATTGTTCATCCAGAACTGTCACCAAATTTAAGTCAATTACAATTCAAAATTTCATGATTAAATTAAAATTATTGATTTACATCATAATGAGTTAATGCTTCTCCTCTTCTTCAAGAATCAACTTTTGGGTCTGATATGCTTCTAATTCCTGTGTAAAAAAGTAGGTGATAAATTTGATTTAAAAGAAGTAAGAAGATTAGAAGACTAGAAGCAGTTTTAGGCATAAATTGGGCAACTAAATTTGATTGCCTTAAAATGCAATTTATTATTTAAAGACTAATTGCATTTATGGAAAGATAAAGGAAGGTTAGAGCTCGGGACCATTGTTACTTTAGTTTTTTTTTTTTTTGTCAGAGTGTTCAAGCCAGTTTACAAGTACCTAAACTAGTCATTCGACCCTAAACAAGGCTTTCGAAACAGGGTAACCCTATGGTCTATGACCAATAATATTAGCAACCGTCATGTGATTCGAATATGAGATCACAGGAGGGGCAAACCCTTTGGTCCCGAGCCTTTACCACTTGACTAACCCATTGTTGGTTGTTATTTTAGTTTATTACTATTACCATTCTGCTATTTACCAAGGCTTCATCCACACCAATTCAATTGATTAGGTCTTTTTTATTTTTGAACATTATTGGAAATTGTTCTTGGGATGAATTTCATTTTCATTTTAACTTTTATGACATCTAATGCCTACTTTTAATTTGGTTACTGCTATCCATACATAATCATAATTTATGGTTGATTATATATTAAATTAAAAAACCTGAAACACGCAACAACAATGGAAATTCATTATTCAAAATATAATTTTTTTTTTTTTTNTTTTGTATGTCTTTACTATTTTCTTTGTTGAATTCGTGAATGTCTCACTCTATTTTATGAGAGACAGTTGTCTATTTATAACTGTTTGGGTAATGATTATATTTTGCAAGTGGCTTGATGTCATGAAGATCCTTCCTGTCTTCCCATTAGTTGAAAACTCAAAGTATATCCTTAAATTAAATGGGGCTTGGACAAGTGTGCAAACCAAATTCACTCAAGCACAAATGCTCGAGTCGGTTTGGGTCCAGTGGTGGATTCAAGAATTTCACTTGATGGGGGCAAAAAATAAAAAACCTAAAATCAATCATAACCATACTTTTTTTTTTTTTCATTAGGATAAGCTTCAATAAAAAGTTATAAAATACAAATAAATATCTTCAAAAAACACAATTTTCGTAAAAATAAAACATTTTTTCTATAATTGTCCTCGACGAGTTTTCATATTCAGAAAATGTTGGATAATAATCTTATCGTCAATTGTATCAAATACATCTTTCTCAATATAGGTGAACAGACAATCATTCATCCATTGATCTCATATTCGATTGCGTAACCGACTTTTTATAAGATTCATTGCAAAACAATCTCTTTCAACGGTCACAGTTGCAACTGGTAAAACCAATGCAAGTTTCACAAGCTTGTACACCAATGGATACAAAATGTCTTTTTTAAATTGAACTAAATTTTTAGCCAAATCACCAATTCCTTGTAACTCAGCAAATTCATCACAAGAACGCATATCAATAACATAAGTCTCAACCTGGTTCTCAAGTACCATCAACTCAAGTGCAGAAAAAACATATGGATAAAACTGGGCAAAACGGATCAACTTATGCTTTGTCAAAAGTAGAGAATGAATTACTTGGATCTAAACATGTCATACAAAGAAGCAGCTCAGTACTAACCTCAATGAAACTAGTGTTAAGTTCTTGAAGTTGCATATCTATCACAGTATAAAACAATAATTCAACTCGATAATGATGCAAATTTGTCATGTTCTCAACTCTCCATCGTGGCCGCCCTAGAATCGCAAACATATCATCCATATTCAAAATGGCAATATCATGCTTTTGGCAAAATGAAGAAACTTCACTCTGTTAGAGTAGGTGCCCTAGAGCCAATCAATTATTGTAGAATTGACTTTTTGTAATGATGTTCATTAATCAATAAAAAATATTTTATTCTATATCGTGTAAATCATTTTGATATGTATTGATATATGTCATTAGGATGGTAGAACCGTGACGAGGGTATCAAGTGTTTCAAACCTTGATAGTGAGAACCCTATGATCATATATGGTGGCCAGTCTAGAAATGTCCGTAGCCCCAGTATTATTTTGACCAAGGACACAGATAGTACGGTAAGACTATCATAGTGTTGAACGACCCTGTCGAAAGGCAGTAACTGATCTCACTTGTCAAGATTGTTTGCCAACAACCTGGTACAACACATCGGTGCTTGCTATAGGCAAGTCCACTAGACTGACCCACCAGAGGATTCCATATAGATGGTAACCCCAGTGTCTATGAAATAAATCCTCTAAAGAATGGTGGTGCATGTGATCCTTAGACTTGAGATCACCAGAGTGCCTTGTGCATCGGTTGGTGTAGTTTGACACTAGCCTAACATAGTTCTATTTAGAGTTATCAATACTATAGTGATTGGCTACATCGAGGAGTGTATTAAGACTATGGTAGATCGATAGAGGATTCATCACTCCTGAGTACAGGAGTAGTTATCTCACTGCGCAATTCAGTAAATGACAATGACACTAAAGCTGTGGCCACAGTGGGACTGAGTTGTTGCCCAATCCAATTTATTATTCCGGTCATTGGTGCAATAACTGAATACAAACACATCGAGAGTAATTGAGGTTGACACTATTTCTGTATCTCAGTCTCGATGAGATAACAGATGATGAAATGATTTGATTACACGGTAACCATATCATTGATAGGTAGCTGTTTCGCTGAATCTGAATCTATCGAGTGGCCATGATGCATTACTAGGGGTCAATCTTGGTTTGTAGGGATGAACACGGGTAGCGGGTAGAACCAGAACCTGGGGGTAGAATCAGAACCGGAACCTATCCGAAACCGGCATTGTGCGGGTAGGTTTCGGCTTCAATTTTTTGGAACCGACACTGTGTGGTTCCGGTTTCAGTTCCAAAACTAGAACCGGAACCTGGAAAAAGAACCTAAAAAGGGTACCTTGTTTGGAACCTGTAACAGGTACCCGATTTGGAACCGATTTTGGAACCTGTTTGGAACCTATTTTGGAACCTGAACTGCAATGAAATATTTGTGAAATGTGAATAATGGGGGGTTTCTATTATTTTACATATAAAAAAATTTAAAATAGAAAAAATTAAATTTTTAGAATAACCTAATTAAATAAATATACTAATACAATTATACTTATTACATATAAATTACACCATATTAAAAACTCTAATATATTATAATATATTAATATTAAAGTTTTCATTAATTAAGTGAATAATTGGAATTATGATCCAATTAAAAGTGTTTTAAATTTTTAATGTTATTAAAAGAACTATTTTTGAATAAAATAGTATATTTGATTGAATAATAATATATTTAGTTATTTACTTCAATTATCAAGTTCTAAGTATATCTATCGGAAATTAGCAATTAATTAATTATATATGATAGATTGATAAACATTAATAAATTTAATTACTAGTTAACTATCATACTTAATCAATTATAAGTTTATAACATTACATTATAGTTAAATGATTACTTAATTAATTTTATTTTTATAACATTACTTAATTGATTTATAGTATAATTAATTATAACATTACATTAATTGATTTCTACTTAATTAATTGACTTATAAGTTATAACAATTAGTATATTACTTAATTAAATAATTAGAAATTTAATTAATTATAGCATTACATTATAGATTTATAGTATAATTACTTAATCAATTATAACATTTCATTATAAGTATTAGTATAAACTTAATTAAATGATTAAAAATTTAATTAATTATAATATTATATTAAAGATTTATAGTATGATTACTTAATTCACTATAACATTATATTATAGTATGATTATATAATTAATTATAACATTACTGCGTTAGTGCATTACATAATTAAATAGTTACTTAATTGATTATGACATTATATTATAAATATTAGTAATTACTAATTTACTACATAAACATTAGCAATTTAGCATAATACTTAATTAAATTATTAGAAATTTAATTAATTACAACATTACATTATAAATTTATAGTACGATTACGTAATTAATTGTAACATTACATTATAATTAAATGATTATTTAATTAATTATAATATTATATTAAGTTTATAGTATGATTACTTAATTATTTAACATTCAATATTTCATTAAATGATTAGTTGATTGATATAATTATAACATTACATATTTAATGATTATGACATTATATTATAACATTACATTAAATAAATGGTACTTTATTAATATTAGAAATTAATTAATTAAATATTACATTATAGTTAAATAATTACTTAATAAATTAAACATATTATATACATTAATTATGATCACTTAATTAATTATAAATTACATAGTTAAAATGTTACTTAATTAGTTATAAATTTTATAAC